TGTGTGGTGATGTGAAGCGCTGCATGTTGCTGTGTGGTGATGTGAAGCGCTGCATGTTGCTGTGTGAGGATGTGAAGCGCTGCATGTTGCTGTGATGATGTGAAGCGCTGCATGTTGCTTTCGCATGACATTGACTTTGACATTTTCGCATCAGTCGGGGATCTGTTCTTGTTGTCGCTCACAAGTTGAATTAAGTTGCTCAACCTTTTCACCAGATGGCATTATTTGTCAAATGTGACCACACGTATGGCAGTCGTTACTAAGCATTGTTTTTGGAACGTCCTATCTAAATTCTGATTGGTGACAGCCGCCATTTAACAGCGTCCGGCAGAGAGTTTAATTACCAGTTTGTGCGAGTACTTTGCGAAGTGAGATTGATGAAAGCGTATGCTATTCTGTTTCAGCAACCGACGATGGCCAGCGGAAACCAAGGACGACCGCGTCGGCCGCACAAACCCAAGTTGTGGCGGAGCACTGACAGTGCTGCCCGCCTGTTTCCCGGACGAGTACGTCGTCGCCAAGCATGCCATCTTGCAGGTGATTCGATTAATTAACAAAAATGTTTAATTAGCACGATAAAATAACACTGATTTTTTTCGGAAAAGTAATCGATCGAAACGAGATTGTTCACGAACTGGTGAGAGCAACTTTTCGCGAAGTCGTTACGAGGTAAATGACGACCTACTTATAGATATGTAATCAGGGTCAGAAATTAACTTTTGAAACACAGGAGTCGCAACGCCTACAAAAAAGAGGGTAGTCCGGCAGTCCTGAGGTCGAATTAAAGATATTCACGAATAACGCATGTGCTTATTTTTTAAGATTCATTTGGGGTTGGCAACGTCTGCCAAATTTCTTTGGACATTCGCAGTGAAAAAATATGGTAATTCCGCGAGGCTGTGCTCCGGAAACGAACTAGTTAGTATGGCTCGAATTTGTTAGGGAGTCGCACGGACTCCTGCATATGTGCAAATCAGGGAGTCCGACAGTATAATTGGGAGTATTGATTCCGGAACTCCCGTAATTTTGCACCGCCTGGTCCTTGTAAGTCTTATATCAAGAGATAATTATTATATAATGTAGTAATTTTTTTCACCTACCGGTCTCTCTCTGCATTCAGAGACGTGACGACTTCAAGAACACGACGCTGTTCCACTCGCTCGAGTTGCACGTGTCCGCTCGCGGCGCCCCTGCCGGAGAGTTTCCGTACCGCGTCTGCGAGCACAGCGGCACGCTGAAGAACTTGGGCGAGGTGAGTCGCCGTGGTAACGCGATTGCGCGATTTTTATCCGCGCGCGCGATTCGCTTCGGAGTGATTTCATAATTTATAATTCGTAATTTTTAATGGATAATAAGCCTGGTAGTTTTTCCTGGCGTATAGAGTTAGTAGGCCGACCGTAGGAGAGAAGCCCGGGTTACGCGGCAGTGCTCAGCAAAACCATGTTACGTTTGTTGTGTCCAAAAAAAAGAATAGTTTAATTTACCGCAGTGTTGTGTTCAACAGATCAGTTACGTTCACCATCAGTATGTTAAACGAAGAGTTTATTCACTCTGTAAAGACGTGTTCACCGAGCAATATACGTGTTCACCGAGCAATAGACGTGTTCATCGAGCAATATACGTGTTCACCGAGCAATAGACGTGTTCACCGAGCAATAGACGTGTTCACCGAGCAATATACGTGTTCACCGAGCAATATACGTGTTCACCGAGCAATATACGTGTTCACCGAGCAATATACGTGTTCACCGAGCAATAGACGTGTTCACCGAGCAATAGACGTGTTCACCGAGCAATATATGTGTTACCGAGCAATATACGTGTTCACCGAGCAATAGACGTGTTCACCGAGCAATAGACGTGTTCACCGAGCAATAGGCGTGTTCACCGAGCAATAGGCGTGTTCACCGAGCAATAGACGTGTTCACCGAGCAATAGGCGTGTTCACCGAGCAATAGACGTGTTCACCGAGCAATAGGCGTGTTCACCGAGCAATAGACGT